GAATACTTTTGTACCAGAGTTCAGGTCCTATTAAAGTAGTTTTTAAAATCCTTTCTGGATTAACTACTGTAGTTTGAGGATCTTAAGGAACACACCTCAAGCTAACTGGATAATTTTGCTTAGTTCAGGTAATTCCACCTGTATAGAAACTGGGAAAATAACCTTCAAACATGGAGTTATTCATGTAGACAAATGTCAGGTTAAAATGTCACAATTTTTAAATACAAATATGTTAACTAGCATTGTGAAATTGATGCTCCTTCATAAAATTATCAGGGAGCTTCAGGCCTGTAAAAATCTTTTGCCTCTGTTTTAAGTACCTTATAACTACAAAAGATTGTAACAGTTCAGATGTGTAGGGGAAATGCAGTAATTTGCTTGCAGATACATTAAGAAAATCTTCTTTAAAGAATTTTCTACTTTAGTTTGTTATATACAAAAGTATTTTTCATTTCCTCTCCCCAAAAGACATCCTCAGTTTTCCAGCAATTTCCTGCCAGCAATAGTTGTGGTAGGCAGATTGTTCAGAAGATTCTTGGGAGTGGTTGGAAAGATTTGGAAAGAAATCCCCTGGGAGCGGACTGGAAGCTTTGTTGCAGATTGAATCCTGTTTAGTTCTCAAGGTCTTGTATGGAGTAGAGTGGTAAGGATACGTGTGGGAATATTTGTAAAAGAGGATTCTTGGAGATAAAGAAAGCCAAGAAACCTTATTTAATATGGGGAGTTTTCTTTGTCGTGCTCCAGAAATGTACATATTGAGTCCTAGATCTCTGGTGTAGAGGTGTAACTTGCAGTATCTTTAAGTTTCTTGAGGAGCACATAAGCAGCTTGACACTGTCATCTCGTTTTCTTCCCTTCTGTTACAGCAGGTGCAACTGCCAGGGTTGGGGGGAGATACTGAAATGACACAGTACATTTCTCATGCTTTCTAGTGTCACTGATGGAAGGAGTGCAGGAGGGAAAATTCCTTGTTGCTGTGGCTAGCAGAATTGTGTGGGCCTACGGTGCAGCATCTGTCTTATTGACAGTCGTCTCTGATCCTCTCTCCTTGGATATCGGAACAGATTTAGAGGCAGACCTAGGTGTAAGCATTTCAGCATGTATTTGTTGATATATCTTCTAATTAAACTGATTTTATTGTTTGGTGATCATGCCACAAAACAGAAGGATGACTGAGGACTGTAGTGGACTGTTATTGGAGGGAGCACCCTTTGGCACATATTCAAAACTTATTTTTGATTCATTAATAATTCAATATGGATGATATTTAGGTGCACTTTTAAAAACTGAAAGCATAGAGTCTAGCTGTTTATTTCATTTAACTACCATGAGTAGCCTGTACTGGCTTTGAGTTTGAGAAATATATTTGAAAAGCAAGATCTGCTCTTTTTGTTTGTGTATTTTAAATATTGATTAAGTTTGGGACTGACTGCCATGGTGCTCAAAGATCAGTTGTTCATTTAGGAAAGTCACTTATCCATGCAACTGGTGAGAAAAGGAGTGGTAAACATCACCAGTCTGGTGATGTACCAATTAAGTACAGTGTTTTGACTGTTTTTCTTGACTTTTCTTCCTCACATCTGTGTATTTGATGCAGCATTATTTCTTTATGAGGTGAAAAAAGCAATAGAAAATATAGCACGTCTTTAAGGGATTTATTGTATTGCTTTATCAATAGTTTCCTCATGTATTAAGTCTTTGCTTTGTGTTTGATATCTCTTTATGGATTGGCATAGATTGAGAAAGCACAACTGAGGTGATTGTGTATCATTGAAGTTAATATAAATTATTCTTATATAATTTAAGGATGAAGCAAATGAAGAAGACAACTAGATGAAAAGGTAGAGAGTGTAACGTATGGTTTTTGTAACAAGATCTTGATTGCTTCTTTTTCCAATTCAAGTCAAGATCTGATGGAAACCTTTATAGGACCTACATGATGGGCTTCTATAACCTTTACTTTGGTAGCTAAATCACAAAGCCATTAGCTTGACTTTAATTACTCAAAGATGCTGATCTGCAGTGTTAACCATTTTTACTTGAAGTAGTTTCTGCTCTGTGGATTACCTATTCAAAACTGGATGATTATTACAGTATAATCAATGCAGTGCTTCTGCTTGGCCAGTGGCTTTTCAGGAGGTGAGTACACCGTTAGCTTGTATTTTTGTGTGAATTTGGAGCTTGCTTTTATGCTTTGAAGGCACTCATTCTGCTCGTGTTCCTAACGAAAGCACTGGTTCCAATAATGAGCAGACACGCAGGTGTTACTTCCTAAAGTGATAGTGACAGAATGACAGAATGCTTGAGGTTGGAAGGGACCTCTGGAGATCACCTGCTCCAACCCCCCTGCTCAAGTAGAGCTCACCTAGTGCCAGCTGCTCAGGAAAGCTTTTGAGAGTCGATATCTTGGAGGATGGAGACTACACAGCCTCCCTGGGAAACCCATTGCAGTGCTTAGTGTTAGACTGTATTGCTTCCAGGTGCATTTAAATATGTAGGTTTGACACTGTTCACTGTGGTTAGTCTGTGTGTTTGAAAGTAAAACAACTTTTACAGTTTGAAATATTGGCACTTTTTTGTGATGTGTCCTTCTTAAGATATGATGTCTTCCTTTGGAAGAACAGTAATAAATTTTGAAGACTTTTATTTGTTTGCAGAACTACAGTAGGTTTTCTTTAAATTTGAGAACAACGTGCTGTCACCAGCTATTTTTGTAATGGAATATAGTTTTTTCTTTCTAGTGATATCCTGAATGTTTAGGTAATTTAAGCAGTCATCCTGAAGAAATATGATATTGCATCTATTAGAAATAAATACAGCAAGAATGTGAGCAATTTAAATACAAAGCCATAAAGAGACTCTGATTTTGATCTTACATAGCTGAAATCCCAAGCTCTTAGGAAATACCTGCTCTGGATACTTTTTGTTGATAGATGAAAAAGAAAATATGTTCATTACCTCAATAAATCACAAGGAGTAATAGTGTGGCTGTATGACCTTTTTATGTCTTTCTATCTTCTGTATCAGTGAAGATTCAAGTGATCTATTGTTTAAAACAAAACACGCTAGTTTTTATGTGGTGGTGGCAGCTATATTTTCTTTCAGCAATATGTCTTTGTGTTTTGAGGGAAAAGAATGACTTGGTTAATATTAAGTTTCTACTTCTATTGTTTTCTTTTTCTCGATGTAATATGGAATTTTGTCACAGTCATAGAAGTTCTGTGGACCTGTAATGATAACCAAAAGCTCCTGATACGGAGATGGTGTATCTTGTGTGTGCAATTCTTTTTTTTAAAGTTCTTCACTTAGTGGACAGAACCTGAACATGTTTGTTTTCTCTACTAACTAATTTACAGCCCTTCACCTACATAGTATACTAATTTGTTTAGTGAAATAACCTTCTCTTCTGATAAAATTTCAGCCAATCGTAATTTGAGACTGACTGCTATTCTTTGAGGCTCCTTTAGAGAGGCATATATAAACAATGTTCAAGTGAACAGTAAAATAGGATGTATGGAATGAATAGATGCAATTATATTGATCCTTGATCTGAAGATAGATCTCCATTCAAGGGATGGTGGTTTTTGCCTTTGCTAAAGAGGAAAAAAAAAAAAACTTGAAAGGGGAAATGAGGAATATGGTTTTCAATAAGTGTTTTGTAAGTTTCTGGGATGTTTAGGATTGACGTGTGGCAGTAAGAGTTAATAGTAATGAAAGCATATCTACTGGATTTGGAATTTGTATGAAGAAGAAAAGTTATATTTGGTGATAAAGAAGCAAAAAGAGTATTTAGTGATGGAGACAGAACTGATAGTTCAGGCTTGGAGTTGGTTGAACAACTGGTAAGATTACAGAAGTGGGAATCAGCAAAAATAATGGAAAAGTTGAATTTGGATATAGACATATACTGTTTGTAATGATTGCCAGTTAATCATTTCACATGATTCTAGAAATGTGAAAAGTAGGCAGAAATAGATGGATTTAGGAATTTGCCATAGAGAGTGAATAGGATCTGCTAGGACATGATGAGCAAAGGGCAAGTGAGTCTAGAAAGAACATCAAGTATGAAAAAAGAACGTGAAGAGTGAAGAACTGTTAGGCCACAGATCACTGAATGGACATGGGTGATTGCAGGAATACAGAAACTCACAAACAAGAGCCTGAACACAGGGGTGTTGGAACCAAATGGTGGTTGGAATAGCACAAGATTAGAGCATGTCCTTTCCTTTTTGTCCAGAAGAAAGTTACTGTTTGCCTTGTCAGTAAGTATTAGCAGAAGAGAAATGCTGCAAGGTGAGTTGAGGAGTGACTTAGAGGACATGTATAAGTTACACAAGAAAATAGTCCACTCTTGGACAGTGTGTTCGAGAAGGAAGGTAGGACAATAGTAGTGAGTTGTGAGGAAAAGGAATTGGAGACAAGAGAGTGTACAGCCTTAAGTTGGAAAAAGTGATGAGAGACAGACTGAATGACAAAAGACAGGAAGGTATAAGAAGAATCAGGTAGACTGTAGAAGTAAAATGCTGGCATCAGAACGTGTGAAAGAGGAGAACTCAGAAAGGAAAACTGGAAAAGGGGTGATAGGATTGAAATGGGAAAGGACCTCTCAGGTTGTATTGGTTTCTGGCAAGATCATAAAGAAAAAGAGGACTTGAAGGAAGAAGAGAGAGGAAAGAACATGAGCACAAGTGACCATACTGTCAGATTAGGGAGACCCAAGAGTCAGTCATAATACTTGTTTATTAAAGGAAAGGCTAGGAAAAGAGAAGGAAGCCCAATAAAGGAAGCTGACACCAGTTGCTGGCTTTGAACTGCCCTTCTGTTCTGAGGTGAATAAATACGCTTATAGAAAAAGGTGAATGCGCACCACAGCTGCGAATACCCATTGAATGCAAGATTCACTTGCAGAGCACAAGCATGCCTTAATGTTTCACATGTTTGTGTGTGTTTGGTAAACAACTTTGATTTTGCTTGATTTTTTTTTCTTTTTAATGTTTCAGGTTCGTGGGAGTAAAGGTGAGGTCCTTTATATCCTGGATGCAAGCAATCCACGCCATTCTAATTGGCTGCGTTTTGTCCATGAGGCGCCATCACAGGAACAGAAGAACCTGGCAGCCATCCAGGTAGATCTGGTGGATTCCTACCATTTGCTTCCTGTTACTGATTTACTAATTTGATCTCCTCTTTGGTCTTTATCTCTTGCAGTAAAATTATAAGATCTGAGAAAAGTAGCAAACTGCTTTCCTTTTCCCACCTTTCTTTTTAGAAGTGAACTCTTGTGCTTGAATATAATACCATAAATAAGGTTGATAGGATGAAAGACCAAAGAGGTCTTTGGTTAGAATCTGAGAAAGGTTTGTGTTAATCCACTGTAGTGGAATTGCTCTGAATCACTTACATGAACTCTATCTCCTAGCTTAAAGTGAGGTGAACGGTTTACATAAAAAAAAATAAATTTCCAGAGTAGTTAACTATAAGAACAGTTTAATTTTCCCACTACAGCGTTATTCAGTTAAGCTGAGCTTTTGCCTGAATGTTGTTGGGTTTTAATTTCCACAAAGACAAGAGGATAACTAGGTAACTACATACCTGTCTGAATCGGGACTAAGGATTTAGAAACCTAGTTGTGTTTCATGCTGAACTCAGGTATGGGCATAGGTGTGTGGAAAGCAGAATCATGCATTTACTTTCTAATTTAAAATTTAATATAAAAGTCTGACACATTTGAAAGCAAGCATGGTGCTTAAAATATTCCAGAAGAAATCAGAGAATTGAAGAATCTAATTATCTGATAGGATGACCAGGCAGTGCTTGAGGGTAATTTAATAAAACAAGATAATTTTCTTTTTCTAGTCTTGGCCGTGGATCTGAATTTGTCCAGCTTATTTTTATATTTGTCATTTGCAGCATTCTGTGGTAGTGAGTTCCACTGTTTTAATTACGAATTATGTTGAAACATGTTTCTGTTTTTCTTCTAGAAACTTCTTAATTTCACTTGATTCCCTAGTTCTTGTATAACAGTGAATAGTTATTTTATGTTCATTTTCTATGCCATCTTTGATTTTATAGAACTTTATTGTATCCTTTCCCTCTTATTTGACAGCTCTTTTCTCAAGCTAAAGAGTCTTAGTTTAATCTCTTGTTTTTGGAAGCATTCTGTGAGTTCGTAGAACGCAACAAAGACAGTGATATTTTTCTAGTTACAGCTATTGTCCTTTTGGAGATTATAAAATAAATGAACTATCTGCATTTTTTTTTTCAGCAGCTCTGTTTACAGTAAAATAGTTTCCAATCCTACATAAGTAAGAGCTACATAGCTGTGTTAAATCTTTTTGCTCAAAATGTATACTTTCTAAAACGTTAATTCAGGCTAACCCAAGGTATTTGCTGATGTAATCCAAATTTGTGAAAAACTAGGAAAAGGAGAATTATTTATCAGCGTTTCTTAAAATTGTTATTCTACTTTTTCATCATGAGATGATTTTTTTCCTGGGATTTACCTGCAGATCCTTGACAAAAGAATTTAAAAACATAGTTTATTTTGAGATCAAATGAAAAAATTTTTGTTTTTCCTTGCCAAGAAGCAAAGTTCATTTCTGATGAAATAAAATAGGAAAAAAAAATTGTTTTAAAACTAAGTAGAAAAAGAATACTAGTAATGCCCTAGCATGTAGTTCTGTGAAAGATGCATTACTGCTGTTCTCCCCCCTGCCCCTTGCCCTCTGTTTATTCTCAGTGGCGCTCAACACTAGAAATTGCAATTTCTGTGTTGATGACCTCTCCAGCTCCTGCAATCTCCTGCTCACCAGAGGGACGGTTTGCTTGTTTGGATCTTAAGCAAGCACTGCCCAGTGAGATTGCAGCTGCCACAGAGCTTTTCTGTGATTTCCATTCCACCGTCTCCTACCACACCTCTTCTGCCTGGCTTTTATTCCGTTACCACAGTAGTTGAACGCTACTATTAGCAGCGTACTGCATTGGGAAACGTAACTGGTTATCCGCCAGCCTTCACTTGATTTGCACCTCCTGCTTTCCAAACTCTAGTTTTACTGAATGTCAGTCTGTGACATTCCATCACATATTGCTGGCCAAACATGACTGCAGTTTTGATATTGTTTCCTTGGTCCTTGTTGCTATTCCTGTTTTAGGTCACTGTGGACAGCTTCATCATCTGCTTTTCCTCTGGGCCTGTGCTCCAGGTTGTTTTCTTCGATTCAGACGTCTTTAGGTCTTAACATCCAGGCTGCAATTGAATTTTGAGTAACAGATAAGAAAAAGTGTTTGCTATTCATCCATTCAGCAAAAACTCGTCAGCACTGACTGACTGCTTTATTATGCTTTTCCTGCTGTCTATGGCAAGTCAGTGATTAATTTAGTACAACCACTGCCTATGCAATTGCTTCTGCATGTTTTCCTTCTGTCTTTGCTCTCAGTTACACCAAGATCTATGAAAAGATTTGTTGTCCTGCTTATAGTACCAAATGTGAAAGGTCCTCATGCATGAGGAGTCCTAGGCACGAGTCAGTGATCAGCATGTCATCAATGCATGTGGCAGTGTGATAACAAATTACGGTCAGTGTTAGCAAATGCAAAGGTTCACAAGAGGGAGCAGTGTGAGCAATTAATGTTCATTATTATATTTTAAAGAAAACACTGAGGAAAATGACCTGAACTTCAGAATAGAAGTTTTGATGGAATGTGCAGTGCATACCAGTGGGGTTTTTGATAATGAAGTCGATTATTTAAATAAAGAAATGGAAAAAAACTGTTATGCTGTATTGTGCAGTTATACCTTGCTTAGAGTGTGCTTAGTGCTTTTTACATGCCTTTCTAAAGGATCATGCTGCAGTTAGAAGATGGTTTTGAAAGAAAAAGAGTGGCAAGAATGTTAGTCCTATAAAAGCTTCCACAGAAAAACATTTGGAAAAATTGCAGGGAAAAATAGAATAAACAAGATCAGCATGTACAAAATGATGAAAAGTACAGTGAAGGCAAACTTGAGTGACCTTGAGGCTGCGTAGGTGTGTATATACGTATAAGTATTTAATTGTGTTTAACATGAATAGTTACTACTTGTATTGAAAAAAGCTGAATATCCATGTATTTCTTTGCAGGGTTTGATCTCACTTTAGTAGATGGAGGTGCAAATCCCAAAGCTTTGCTATTCCTTTAGGGGAAAAAACCCAACACCACAGCCCACAAATCCTTCAGTATTTTAATTCCAGTCTTTGCCTTTAGTGATGAGCAGATTTAAGGCCACATGGCGCAGTAGCACTTTGTTTTATGAAATCAACAGGCAAAACATTGATGGAATGTTTCCACTAATGATACCTTTTAATTTGAATTGAGGGTTGTCTGCTTGCCACCAAGATGATAAAATGATGTTTTATAAAGAGGAAGAAGTTATGAATTACATCCATAAAGTTGTTTTAGTTTCATTATCATTACTCAAGTTAATGTGACTGTGAAAAAAAAAGTTGCATTGCTGAAAAAGTACCTAAAATAATTTAAAAATTTGTGATACAGATTGTGACATAAAAAAATATTCCTAATTGTAAACTAACTGAATGATTACATATGATATAATAAAGTAGAATACATCTGCATAGTTATAAGAAGGGCTAATTTGCTAAAAGGAGGAAACAGAATATTTAGAGATGGTTAGAGACTTTGTGTTTTAACCAGCACATTCTAATTACCCTTGTGAAATGTAGATTTCTCCAGACATTTGTATTTTATGAAGATTTTTGTGAGGTTGGCTGATTTTTTTAAACAAGTATTTGATTTTTTTTTCTTTCAGTTCTCTTGCTTACTTTAAAGTGAATCTTTAACAGTGAATCTCATAAGCTAAAATTGATTAATTGAGAATATTTGACCAAGATTAATGATAATAGCCTATAAAATGTGAAAATAAAGTAAACCACAGTGGTAGAACAGGGGCTTCTCTTGCTTGTCCTAAGTCTATTCTATGAATGCTTAAGAACTTAACTCTGGTCGTGTGCTTCACAGCTGCCCCTCTGCAATTTTCAGAAAACTTCATATGGATTAACAAAAATGTGAACGGAAAATAATGATTTCCTTGTTTATACCCACTAATGCTGATTTAATGCTACCCACTAATTGTCATTTTCATTAGTTTTCTTCCTAGTCTCCAAATACTCCAACAGGAGCTTTTTGGTCTACTCTGAGAACGTTTCCAATCCTGATAGCATCACTTTATTAGTGATAAACATTATAATCTCATATCTGAAATATTTAAGTGATTGATAATCAGTTTACTGTTTACTGCCTGGTACTCAGTTTAAAAGAAGATGAATTGAATGCGTATGTCCCTGTATACAAATAAAGTAAACTACATCCTGGGTTGACTACAAAATATGATTAGTTCATCATAGTTTAATTGTACCTGAAGATCATGTTTAGACTCTGTGCAAAATGCTTCCTGTGGTGAAAAAACAACTTAGAGGGCATGTTTGTTTTTTTTTTTAAGTAAGTTTGTTGGATTTTTTTTGTTTGTTTGGATTTTTTGTGGGTTTTTTTGGCGGGGGGGGGGGGGAGGGGGGGCTAGGGTGAGTTTGTGGGCCTTTTTTTTTTGTGATTTTTTTCTTCCCCCTGTAAAGCTACATATTTTTTTAAACCCCGGTTCTGGTGGTAACTCTTGGTGGTGTTGTGGGGAGCGTTCTGGGCACTGACTTCTGCTTCTGTTCCTGGTGAGGCAGCTCCAGTGTTCGGGTTGTCTTTGGCAAGGTGCAGGAAGCATTTTAACAGCTGTGCGGTGAGTAATGCCACTGCTAGAGAAGGATGGAAAGGTCGGAGGGTACCAGCGTATGTACCAATTGCTTTTCTGAGTGTTTTGCACAGCTGAATTGCTGGAGGCTTCTCTAACTTATTTCAAATAGTAATTGAATGAGTTAATCCTCTACTATATTTAAAGTAGCTTTAGAATTACAACTTTTGCATTAACAGAAACTGTATGAATTGTAATCTCTTTTGCCCTGGGCTATTCCTAGCTATTTGCTTATAAATACAACTTCTGATATGTAGCAAAAAATGCATTGTAATTATCACAATCTAAAGGAAATGGCTTCTACCAAAAATACCACAGCTTTGTTTTTTCAGTTCT